TTACTTCATACAATTCCATACCGAATATTGAAAAAGGAGATAAATTTTATTATATCGACCGGATAGGTGGTGGTGGTCAATTAAAAGTCATCGAGTTTCCGACAGGTTGTTATGAAATTACCGACATAGAAACATTTATACGAACGCAAATGAATCTTGAAAATGAAGTTGCTCCTCCGGATGATTATTTTTCTCTAAAACCTAACAATAATACACTGCAATGTGAAATCTTTAGCAAGTATTATAAAATAGTTTTTACAGAACCGAATAATCTTGGACATCTATTGGGATTCTCGAAAAAAGTTCTTAATCCTGGTCAAAAGCATTCTTCTGATTTACCTGTAAACATAATAAAAGTATCAACCATACACTTTGATGCTAACATTACGTCGGGAGCCTTTGACGGAGACACGCCTGCACACACGATCTACGAATTTGCTGTGACAGCCGATCCTGGATACGCTATAGTCGAAACACCTGTAAATTTACTATATCTACCTGTTATACCGAAACAAGAAATAACCAACATCACAGTGTTGGCTTTAGATCAAGACGGTCGTCCTGTAAACTTTCAAGGTGAAACTAGTACTCTTGTGTTGGAGTTGAGAGCGAAGCGCAGATGGGATTAGTGATTATAAGACATAGTGGTGCTTCCAAGGCAACTTCAGTATTACCCCAAGCACCTAAGCGACGACATCTACTACTAACTACATCAAATATCCTGTTTCTACGCTCACTTGGATATCATGTCAACAACAACAAGAATCATGTACAAAAAGAGAAAAACTGAGGAGGCAGCAGCAGCAGCATCACATACTTCTCCGATGTTTGATCTATATCGATCTCCAGCATTCGATGAATCTATTCGCAAGGCTGAGTATAGATCTTATACGCCGTTCATCAAGTCATTTAATTGTAATGATGTTGTGGAATTTAGCATCAATCAAGTAGATTCGTTCTTTGCAATGAACGCTTCCCTTCTATCTATCAAAGGAAAAGTTGAAATAACTGGAGGAGGAGGAGCAGGAGATGTATCTTTAGCTCCAAACTTTGGTGCCTTCCTATTTGACTCTTGCACTTACAGTGAATCCGCTAGAGAAGTTGAAACAGTACGTGATCCTGGTATTGTAAGTACTGTCCGAGCTTACGTATGTTACAGTGAGGAAGACTCAAATCATATGGCTATAGCTGGATGGAACTATCCTTCAACACCTATAATGGCGTCAACACATAACAAGTCTTTTAGCTTGCTAATGCCGCTTAAACATATTTTCAACATTTTCAATGATTATCCTATGATTACGTGTGGCAGACAAACTCTCAGATTTGTGAGAGCTAGAAACGATAACGATTGTATCATTATCAAGGAAAAAACTGGAACGACGACGACAGCGAAAATAACTATTGAAAGCATGGAACTGAAAATCAAACATATTTACCCGAGTGATGATGTGAAAGAACAACTTTTGAAAGCTATTCAAACTGATAAGCCGATACTTATACCGTTTAGAAAATGGGATCTGAATGAACTGCCTGCAATTACCGCAGATGCGAGAAGAGAAATATGGTCAGTTAAAACTAGCACCGCAATCGAAAGACCACGTTTCATTATAGTATGTTTCCAAACCGGTAAACGTGACGTCGCAACCTCAGACCCTACCCTGTTTGATCACGTGAATGCTGCTAGTATTCGAGTATCTTTAAATGGTGAATACTATCCCAACGAACGTATGCAATTGGACTTTGCAAACAATCACTTTACTGAAGCTCATTTCAACTATAGCGACTTTCAAACCAGCTATACAACTTCTTCTTCTCCTCTGAAGAGATGTCTTTTAGATTATACCGCTTTTAAAAATCGCGCTTTGTTTGTTATTGACTGTTCAAACAAGAGGAAACCATGAAATCATCAACTGTTGATGTTAGATTGGATATCGAAGCCGATACTGGCTTTCCAACCAACACCAAGGCCTACTGCATCATTATACATGACTGCTTAATCGAGTACTTCCCCCTCACCGAAGTTATTAAAACCATCTCGTAAGCAACGAAGGACTCTCAGTTCCGCATCAGACATCATGAGGATCGCGTTTGTTGACATTCAAGGCTTTACAGTTGACGGATTATTCGTACCTAAAGAACTATGTATCGAAATTGGTTTCAAGAAAAGTCATTACATCTTTACACCTCCGCAACCTTTTTCTACATTAAATACTAAAGACAAGAAAACTGTCGCTTACTTGGAGAAGAATTTCCATGGGCTTAAATATTCTTCCGGCGACGTTAAATATTCCAAGTTAAATGAAATAATTAAAAATAAGGTGATATATGCGGCTGACTATGTCTACGTTCGTGGAGAACAGAAAGCAAACTTTTACTCAAGAAATGTCACATTTTTGGTGTTTTTCCCAACATTATTGATGTTTGCAAGTATGATGGTACACCGTGTGCTACTGGAAACTTTGTTGCTGATTCCAATCCATGCCACACCAACGGACAATTTTCCTGTACCCAGAGAAATGTTGAACGTCTACGCCACTGGTTTTCAAATATCATATTACCTATGTAGTTTTTTTCTATTTTCAATAAAATATTAAACGTATTATTGTAGTTTTATTGAAAATACCTCTGGTTTGCGAAATAATTGTCAGAATGTCTATACTATTTTTCATTTTGAACGGTATCATCCTGTATAATAATAACAGTACATCGTATACAGGTTATGAGACATTCTGACCGACCGACCGACCGACCAGAGGAGCCCACCACGCTATTTAGGTCACGCCTTGCTATATACGATTTAACGATATACCGTCGGTCCATCGATCCGCTATTTTTCGATGCACCCCTGTATACACGTTGCCCCCCGTAATCCACGCCAACACCAGACAGGTGCGACATCGGCGCCATCTATGCGCGAGATGCCCAACCCATCAATGGCAGCTGTCCAATGACGCATAGATTCCGTTAGGTTTGTACACCGCCAAACAAATCTACGCCATTTATGCGCGAGATGCTCAACCCATCAATGACAGGTGTCCAATGACGTATGACAGATGACGTGTAACGCCATCTATGCGTGAGATGCCCAATGACGCATGACAGGTGTCCAATGACACACAGATTCCGTTTGGTTTGACAGCGCCATCTAGCGGCGGAATCCCCAACTCATGAATACAGATTCCGTCCAACAACCTGTCAATGGCGCGCGACGCCAGCGCCTCTGGTGGCGGATTTGGAAGTTTTGAGACCGAATCCCCATAGACCATCTACT